TCGTTTATCCAGCCAATACCATATGGATGACTAAAAATATGGTAGAAAAATATTCTGGTTCCGCTCAAACAGGGTAATCAGGAGTCAATTTCCCAAAACTTCCATATTCTACAACCACAAACCCAACTTCGAAAAACTATCACGATTTCGTCAGCCACTAATTTTGCATCTTCAGATTTTCACCTAGTACGAATCACCCTCAGATATACACATATAAACTTAAACAAGATGGAGATATAAAAGAATTGGTCGAATTTGAAAAAAATGTGCATAAAAAAGGAGTTTAGAAGAGTCTGACTTTCTCATAATCAATTATAACATTTTATGGTGATGAAAATATCGGGATAATAATATGAATTATCGATAAAATGACATTCGCATTCTTAAAAGAAACATTTTATTTAAATCATTGGCTATAGGCGGGAGTTCGAATAATAAAATTTGCATGAAAATTGGTATCGAAAAGCAGAATTATGTGAAATATATTTTTATGAAACATATTAATTAATTAATTTGTAAAATTTAAATTTTTATCATACAAGGGATAAAATTGGCATAAGAATCCTACGTAAAATAATAGCTATGCCTAAAGGGATTATTTCTTTTGGTTCTTTTATTCAATTTTAGTGGAGTTAAAAGGAATCTTTGCAGTTGTTTCAGCAACTAATGATTTAAGTAATGGAGCATCTTTATGATTATTCATTTGTTAAAAAATCAACATATTTTTGGAACTAGTTTTAAGCCGAGCCCATTTTCGAATCTGTCCGATCTTGAAAAAAAGTTGTTCAGGCGCGGCTATTTGACATTTTAATCATTCTTCCGAATTCGCAGCTCATTTGATTCATTAAACATTATTCAATTAATCAGCCGCCACATAGCATTCTACCCTAGGAGTAAGCAACGTTGCTCAATCAATTCTTCCCTTCCTCTTAAACTTTCATTGGCACCAATAGTGAGTATCTCCACAGATACATTCAGATTATGCACCCTTTTTTCCGATGTAAGAAGTCCCTCGTTGAAATGGGGTTAGATTAGTATGCATAGCTACTCTGCTTTTAATTATTATATTTATGTTTGCTTTGATGGAAATCGTTCTAACTCATTGGCTCCAAACATATTAGAAATTAAAATGCACAATTCACACATGGATTTCTGGCGGAAGTATGTGGAAAAAGTGAATGATTACTTAATAAATATTCCCGAAGTAGCATATGACTCAATTCGATGTAGTGTCGTTATCAGAGCCATTAAAATCAGAGGGCCATAAAACCAGTAGAAGTGGAGGTAATCGTAACTAGCCCTTAGCAGATTACAGTAGACTCTCCGGTCGGTAGCAAAGATTAGAATCTGATTAATGTGCATACTTGCACATATTATCTTGCGCATAAGCGAAGACTGGGCGTTGGTGTAATTTAAGTTAAAATTGTGCAATCAAACCTACCACTCCGACGTTTGATTCTCGTATGTGCATATCTCCTAAAGTACATTTTAGAATTTTACGGATGTTAAGGGAAGGTCAAGATATCGAAACATCGTTCAGTACTGTTTATCCAGTTACAGAGGCTTGCCAAACACGTCAGTGGAAAGAGTGACGGCTCTGATAGGTGGCTACGCCTTCCTTTGTTTACAAAATACCACGAACTTAGTTTTACGAAACCGGCTTCTGACAGTACTAGCAAACCTCAACAAAATATTGGAGAAAAAGTTATCCTATTCTGTCAATGATAAAATGAGATGATATAATACAGGCCATAAAGCAAATCACCTATTTGCTTTATCCGAAGATCTTGATTAATATTGAATTTTTGAAATACAAGCTCTCATGTTATTAGAAGTTGATCCTATGAATTCCATGGGAGTAAATGAAATCATATTTTCAGGTAATTATTTTCACGCAAGGGGTGTGCGATAGACTTACCTCCTCGTGGTGCACCCTCGGCAACGTATACTCATACGGCAAAAAAGTCTATTAATCGGCAGTTGACTTCTGATTTCAAGTTATCATGACCCCACTATGTCATATTCGATTACTTCCACAGTACTCACCATTCATCTACCTTTGTATCTGTCTCTTTTGCATCTTTAAAATACTCTTCTGTCCCCCCCTCTCGAATCGATTTGATGTTCCTCTCCCTCTGTGAAGCCTGAAGTCAGCTGCCGGTTTATAGACTTTCTCATGGTAGTTTGAAGTCAACTGCCAGGTAATAGACTTTAGTTTGAAGTGAGAAGTCAACTGCCGATTGATAGACTTTTATTTGAAGTCAGAAGTCAACTGCCAGTTAATAGACCCCGCATGAGTATACGTTGCCCAGGGTGCACCACGTGGAGGGAAGTCTAGCGCACACCCCCCATAATCTTGAATATAAATGGCATTCACTTATTTTCAAAATTAAGCCTTAAACTAATTGTCTAGAAATCTCATGAAATACAAATTATAAATTTTAAGAGGTTCTAACCACAGCTAAGGCCAAGCACAAATCTTGATTGCAAGAAAGAATTCAGATAATGTACCTTTGTTCTAATTAACGTGGAAGTTAAGCACGCAGTGGCAAATCTTAATAATTAATTGGGCTAAATGTTAATTTAAAATCTCCAAAAAATTAGCCATAATACCAATCGAAATACAAAAAAAACACGAGGTCTAAATATCCACGTTATAGTCACGTGTGACACACAATCATTTTCCATATCCGGTAGTTAAGCGAAAACAAAATGACCCAAGAGGTGGGATCCACCGGATATGATTTGCGTTTTGACCGTCATCGATGTGGAATCCCCCATGAGAAATTTGACCCCCAAAGACACGAGGATATGTACATCAATCTGGATCGACTTCCAAATACAGCCCCAATCATGCGTTTCGACAAATTCTTCATCAAGCCAGCCAATAGTAATGAGGAAGGTATCGATATACCCCTAATAATAGCTGGTCCCATCTATGCTCTGTCTGAATTAATTTGGGAAGAAGAAGAGTTGTTCACTTTCATAGAAAATTTGGATGGCTGTTCGTATAGAAACCCCCAGCCGTACAATGAGGAATGTCCAGTTTGCAAAGCCGTTCACCTGATACTAACTACATGCACGACTTATGAAGACTGCAAGCAAGTTTTAAAGGACCTGAAACCTCTATTAATTTACCAGGTATGTCATGAAATTTGGTGTCGACTCCTACCTCAACCAATAGCTATTGAAGGCATTGTTCAGAATCGTTTTGATGCCTTTGTGTACTCCTATATAACCCGATTTTATGATATGTCACGTCCATTAGGAGATAAGGCTGGACCTACAAAGACACTTTCATGGCCAGAACGCCGAGAAGTTATGTTAGAGTGGACGAATGGATACGCCTTCCAGACGCATTATCTCATCTCGAAAGGTCCTGAGAACAGTAAAATACAAAGAATTGCAGCAGGATTTATTCTGACTTTTATGCTACGTTTTTTGAGGGGCTACACTACTTTATCGGTCCCAGAGTTGAGTACTAATCCAAATTCCCCATATTTCCTTCTTGATGCTATCAAAGCCACCTATGAAAAGCAGTTGAATATCATCGACGGAGTAGTTCTGCATCTCTATCCAGTACTCTTGTTTATTCCAAATTGCGACCAAACGGAAGCTGAAGTAAAGAAGTTGCTGAAGGACGTCATGCGTATCATGTTGACAATGAATGTGCAAGAGGCCTTCATGCCGGGAGCTGATATCCAGCAATACTACACGCACATCAAGGCATGCGAACTTCATCCGGGTATGTGCATATGTCGCTGGGCGAAGTATTTAGAGAGTAATCCAAGGGGAAGTCCAGATGACGTGGGTATGATAACATGCCCGCAAGGATCGACATCATTGTCTCAGGCCCCAGGGCCTAACCGTGATGAGGGAAGGGTATATATTCGCAGAGGAAAGGGAATCGATATAAGGGCCATTCTACGAGGTTTTTAAAGTAAATGAATATGGGAAAAATTAAAAACTCATTCACAATTTATTTAAAGTTAAATTGAATATTGCTTAATCAAGTGATGGAAATATCACAATGAATAATTTAAAATATTTTACATACTTTAAAAAGCCTTGCGACAGACTAATAATGGAAAAGGGAATACATTAGAGGACGACTGATGATGACAGAGGAAGGGAGCTTGTAAAGACTACTATTATTGGTAATAAAACAGCCGGAAACTTCCTAAATGAGACTAACAG